TTTGGCACCATGGATGCAGAAGACGAGAAAGTGATCTCGGAGCAGCTGCNATTGATAGGAAGTAATCAGGCCGTGTTGCAGCATACTGTAAAAACTCAGTTACAGATAGTTAATGCCACAATTGCTCACGTAAACGATGTAGAAAATATTATAGAAAGAAATGAGAAAAGGCTGCGTGAAGCAGTGGAAAAAATAACTCAGAAAGTTGATGACTATGCGCAACAGCAAAAGCTGAGGGACTATTTCCTTGAGCTGGGCAGTTTACTATCAGAAATGGACTTCCCTCGATGCCGAGGGAATAATTGAGTACGTTACCGATGTGCACACTAAATTTGCAAAATTAGAAGTGGTGCCACTAGAGCAAATTATACATAGCCTGAAGAAGGCGAACAATCAATTCATGCGGGACCTGCGTTTTCCTTTTGCTGTGACTCTAGAAAACTGGTTAGAAATTAAAAGGTTTGTCACGGTTAATGTCTATTGCAAAGACTCAAATATATTTACGGTTGTTAAGTTTCCATTACTCAGTTCCGGTAGTTACAACGTGTACAGGGTAATGCCCTTACCGGTACATGAACGGGACAACGTATTCACGGCAATACAAGTCAAGCATCCAGTANTAGCAATAGACACAAACCGTCAAACGTATTCTATACTTAGTGAAACGCAGTGGAATAGTTGTATAAGCGTTCAAGACCGTTTTGTGTGTAAAAACNTAGATTCAATGTATCGGTTCTCGCAGGGAACACCCTGCGAGTTACAAATGTTTGTAAACGAGGATGGAAAATACAAAGACTGTGAAATCGACCACATAGTTTCTAATCAAACTATATGGGTACGATTAACAAAGGCACGCGTTTGGTTGTTCTCAACCTTGAAAGAAGAAACTCTTCGGGTTACGTGCAAAAATAAGTCGGAAAAAATGGAGGTCATATCCGGAGTCGGAGAAATAGAGCTGCCGGAGCAGTGCGAATTGACCACAGCGATTATCATAGTGCGAACTAATCAAGTAGTTAAGGGCGTGGGAATAAATACGTTCTTACCGCGTTTTAATATCACGGCACCGAGAAAAAGGGAACATGTAAATAATAACGGCTTGGAACTCGAAAGTGTACCGCGGAACTCGGTGCAGTTGCGATCATTAGAAGAGCAGGTGACACGACTTGCGGAAGAAAGTGATTTTGTAGATTACACATTTTATAAGCAGCCGCACTTTATTATCCCAACTTCGGTGGGCGTAACCTTGATTATTGTAATAATCGCGAGTTTGTGTTTTTGGCTGCATAAGAGAAAACTCCACGCAAAAAAAGAAATGTTCAGTCTTCGAGATCTGAAGCCAAGTACTAGACAGATCGGGCACGCAGTACCCGAATTTTAGTATAGTAAGCGGAAAATAGCGGTACATTTTCCTTCTTTCAAGAAGGGGGAAAAATGTTGTGAAATTTAGTTTAGTTTTGTTCGGGCCATTGAGCAATTGCGGTAAGTACGCATCATTGCTCAATTAACCCGGTTTTGTTTCAAAAGGGTAACAAGCAGCATTTCTTTGTAAATGAAATCTGCTTGTTAAGCGTAATGTTAAGTATGGTACAGACACAGCACGCAACGTCAGCGGCCTACGTGCAATAGTAATTAGGTCGCTAAACTGCTGAGTGATCGCGATCGATGCTTTTAAAAGATCGATCGCGAGCAACGACAGACAGATCGTGAGTAGCTGTTGAATACTGTGTGGCTCCGAGTCCATCCGGAGAGTTTACCGCAGTATAGCAACGGCTAAGTGTCAGAATAAGCGTGCGATATTGTACAGTAATTTGTAAACTTGGTAGTAATAAACTACGCCAGTCTTTTATAAAAGAATCTTATTCATCACCAAGTCCTTTATCTTCCCGATCTCAACAAATTGTTTCATACCTAAGCTCAGCATTATCGTTTGCTGCTTTTTTGCATAAAAGGAATCTATCATAAAATCTATAATAAAGTCACCAACTATTATACATTCTTTTTTTATTGTTAACTCCTCTACTATAACTTCCAGAAATTTTATGAAGTCACCATGCGACGCGCTTGGTGAGTGAGATATACTACTATAATCTCTTCTTAACACAATTTTTCTTTTACTTCTACCGTTACACACCAATATTTCAATTTTAAGGTTTTGCTACTATTATTTTATAATTAACATCATCTCTTATATACAAAACAACCCCTCCTGTATTTCTGTTCTCAGTATTGCACTTAATTATACTATAATTCTGAACGCTCACTTCACTATCTTCTATCTCGTCAGTCAATCTAGTTTCCGACATTGCTAAGAATGCAGAATTTATTTTCTTCAAAATCTAATGCTGTATCTCATCTTTATGCACCGTTAAACTTTGCGCATTTGTATATAGCATTAGCTCCACATCTTCCTGTAGTTGCTATTTAGTGTCCTTCCAGCCAACATTCTTCTTCTCTTCTTGTAATGCTCTCTTAAAAGGTGAACACTCCATACTGAGAGCGTCGTGCTCGTCATTTATTTTCAGGTTGTATGTTCGAATTTTGAACATACAATTTACACACTTCTACTTTGTCGTTAAGCAGTCAATCGAGTTGTGATTTCCTGCACATTTGTGACATGTCTCGTCTCTTGCACAGGTTTTAGCTATGTGATAATAACCTCAGCATTTAAAACATCTTTTAACACTAACATGATTAAATACAGAACATTTCTTCCATCCTATATTTAGTTTACTTTTCTTCAAAATCACCTCGTGTGTTTCATTCATTCTGTTTTTAATATTATTGATTCCTCTTTATTTTCTCGTTTTTTAAACTGGGTGCTATTATTTTTCTTTTCTTTAATTATTTTCTTCACTATTCGCATATTCATTGCATTCATTTTATTCTGCCTCTTTATCGTAAATATAAATAAATATCGTAGATATAAGTTTATCATCAGTTAAATTTATCTCTTTTATCCCTACATTACTAAATTTTAATTTCGGCTTTGATTGTGGTGATTTTACTACTTTTATAATTTTTTCCTAGTTTAGCTTGAACTGTCTCCTTCACTTTTTTAACTTTCTCTCCAGTTTCACATCCAATTATTACAGTTCTCTTGCTTCCTTTTCTCAATTTTGTTACTCCCATCGCCATGTTCTTAATATCCACTTTTTCTTTTATTAGCTTTTTTGTGGTTTCACTCTCCTGTTCCAATTTTGGCTTCACAATTATAATATTTTCTCTCTTCATTTCTTTAACTGCTTCACTGTAGTTTCTTTGCGTTCCTGACGCTAGTTCGCGCACTACATCCTGTATCATTCTTCTTAGATTTTTCAGTTCGTGTTTAACGTTTCCCAATTCCTCTCAAACTATCTCTTTAATCATTATTTCGATTTCTTTTTTACACGTTGTTTCATCTTTGATTTCTTTTACACACACACAGTTCTTATAAGATAATCTATTTTTATATCAATGCCAATCGATCCACTCATTTCTGATGATTTATTTCCACTACTCCGTGCCGTGAACGATCCCGCAGAACCTATAGATCCTGTTGGTTCTGTCTAATGCCTGCTGCTTCCCGCCGTCATCGGCGCTTTCTTCATATTTGTTTCTTGGCCGTTTTCAACAAAAAACTCTTCAAATGGACTAGCACATTGCACTAATTCTCGGTTTCTATCATAAACTCTATGTTTACATACACATCCCGGGTGGTAAAAAAGTTTGACATAAGACCTGCACTTAACAACTTTGTTTCTTATTGCCTTCTTACATGCCAGATCATGCAGGACAGCAACGAGAGCATCGAAGGGCAGAGTCCCCACCGCTCGACTTCTTGATGCTACGCACACAAGCGAGAACCGCGTACGTGTGCGTGACGTCACGCTCGGCTGTGGAAGAGTGCAGGCATATTATTTTCTGTCTTCTTTCTACCAAGTCGGCCACAAGACAACGCACGTTGCGTATAACAACGCTTTTCGAAACTTAGGCTGCGTTCCGATATTTACTGCCAGTACTGACAATCTACAGCACATGTGACGTGAAGATATAGATTTTTTTGAGTACTGGCAATGAATATCGAAACGCAGCTTCATATTCTTGTAAAAAGACATGATATTATTGATACAAATAAACTATCTCAATATATACATTACATATTTTCTTTGTATAAATTATTACTATGATATTTAATAGTAAAAAAAAAATTTTAGAATATTAACAGAAGAATAAATAAAGAAACATACAAATATATACATATATACATATATAGTATATTAATATTTGTTTGTATCACAGATGTCTATACTACACCTAGATCGCTGACTTGTGNCTTTAGCATATGACAGTAGCTGTGTCCGGTGCGATTTCCGGTTTCAGCCATTTTCCCACCAAGAAAATGGCGCCGACGCGTAGGTTAGGTTAGGGTTAGGTTGGTAAATGTATATGTCACCTGAGCCGGTGTTCACTCAATGCCAGGAGACTATAAGTTTGTACTTTTTTCATACACTGGCTGCATTAGTTCACTAGTCTATCTTTTTTCTTTTAATATGGATTAAAAAAGATAGACTGTAAACTAATGCAGCCAGTGTATGGAAAAAGAACAAAATTATGACATCGGAGGTAAAGAAGATTCCGTTTCTCCGGACATTCTTCAGAGATTTAATTTCGCGTTTACTCAACCAGACAATTTACCGTGATTAAAAGTAAAAAATTAATTTTATTCGANAAAATTACAAAACAAATAGAATTATAATAACATGGCAACAGTACAATTAATTTTACATTTAAGTATTATTAAAAAGTATTAATTTTGATAATTTGTGCCGTTTACTTACAGGATTTCTTACATCTCTATTTAATGTTTTGGAATATGAATACATTCGAAGCGTAAGATATTTTTCGCATATAAGTGTAATTAACTGTAAACGATGAGGTATATCTGTGCCAATCTCAAGTCCTTCGTAACATTGGNCATTATTACAAAACACATTTGCGTTTNATATATATCTGCGTGTTACCTGAGAAATAATTTGAGAGTATGCTTTTGTATTCGGTAGATTATTAATACTTTTTGNTACGGACTGCAGGAACTCGAGTTCGGTGGCACAAATAATTTTTTGTACATTATTCGANGCATACACTAAACCTCCGTTATTTTTTANATCAATTAATATTGTATATGATGCGTTTTCTTGCCTATCGCCTTTTTTTCTAATGAGATTAGCAATACAACCTTTGCAGCTTAATTTAAGAAGTATTTTTTTTACTATAAAACCTGCTACATAATATAAAATATTTTCTTTCAGAAAATTATTGTCGGTTACATTAATAGTACAGTATAGTTCTTCATTTTCAACATCAGAAAATAAATTGTCATTATTATTGATATCAGAATTCATGCTATAAATATCATCATGCCAGTTTTTAAAATTTTTTTTCTTCGTCCACGTTAATNTAAATCCTATATCTTGTTCAATATCAAAACCAGTACAATTTGCTTTCACTGACACTGAAATATTATTTTTTGCTAGTATGCTTTTCATGGCAGCTTTGAATTGCAATACATTCGGATTATTATTCCAACTGTGTCGTCGACGCACTTGCGCAAAAAATAATTCTAAGTGGTCCTGACTGAACCTGTACGTCATTAGGTATTTAAAAGAATTGTCTTGTAATATCATTTGAGCAATTTNAAATATCGATTTANTAGCAGCCGCGAAACCGATGATAAAAACTTTTCTTTGACTAGTACACAGTAACTGATTATTGAGTTTACTTAAAGTATATAAATATTCTATCTTTTGTTCAATAATTCCTTGTAAAAAGGTAATGTTGTTATAAAACAATGGTTTCTTAAACCCCTTTCCGAATGGATTGCGGGAATTTAAAAAATCAAAAAGTTCATCGATGGTTTTGATAAATTCTATTGTGCCAGCACAATCTTTAAATTCTTCGACTTCTGAAAATTTTAAAAATTCCAAAGCGGCAGCAGTAGAAGAACTTAAAGTCTGTGCTGCAAGTTTTACTTTCATAATGTTAGCTTTGTAATTTANATGCGCTGAACTAATTTTGTTTGCAAATTTTAAATTCAGTTGCAATTGCAGCTGATGTAGATTTAATATGTGATCCCAACAGATTTCCCCAGTAGGANATTTAAAAACTTTTAGATCTCCTAACGCGTTTCTAGCAAGCTTTACACTGTGACATGCATCGGGTACGAAGTGTACATTGTAATCAGAGCTCGGATGTTTAAATGTTGTTTTTAATTCATAATAATTTGTCGTAAACAAATTGCATCCTAATNAGTTCATTGTTGAATAATTAACATGAACACCATCACATGCAACACTCCATATCCGAATGCCTGATTGCTGCGACAATATTAGTGCAGTTTTCACTAGTTCCGCTAGCACGGAAGCAGTTATTTTATTGATGAAAAAATAGCCTACGGGCCACTTCCACGTGCCTTTAAGTGAAACCAACATGAAAACGAGGACTTCGGTGGNTTCTGTTTCGACAGGTTCTATGGATACTCCGTTGCCGTACTCACATAATCCGACGAATTTCTTAGATGTAGAATCCCAGATTATTTGCTTTCGAATTGACATAGAATCGAACACCATATTACAGTGACGCGAAACTTCTGGAAAATTTGAGATCTCTTGAAAGACGTTCATCATAAAACCAGGTTCTGCATTAACTGATGATAACCAATTTCTTATGCTGCTTTCATGCGGCAAATGTAGAATCGATCTGCAAATGCCATCATTTTTGATTATTATAATCATGTTTTTATAATAGATTTAACTTATAATATCCGTGGACTGCTTGAAAAAAAGTATATACCTGCAATAGCTATAAGCCTTCGGTGAGTAATAATGCAGAGTCACTGCAAACTTCTTAATTTCGTCGCTGTATCGGCAACCTTTCNGACTTCGTTTTGTATTTTTCCATTCGTTCTGGAACAGTTCGCCAATGCTTCCACCAAAAGTGTTATTGATAATCTTGCTTGGATCACTTTCAATTAGATTCTTCTCTCTGTTAATTTATATATACATATATACAACTGCTACGTTGGCAATTTATTCTATTCTGACAATGATTTTGACAATTTATATAAGTATATTTATACTTCTTTTTTCGTTCACCAATATTTTCTTTACTATGTTCTACACAACTGTATACCCTAGTGACAACCCAGCAAACATTTCGGTCACAGAACCATATCCATCTGTGTCCTCAGTAGGATATGGTTTGGTAACCATGTCTGTCAACATGTGAAATGTCAAAATGCGACCAAAATGATGACAGAGTCTGCCACAAGCAAAGCGAAGTCAAATTATCGCCAAAGTGAAGCCAAAATCCGGAATAGGTTTGGTCATCGTCTGTTGGCGCCAAATTGCAAACAGTGCGCACGTATACACGAACAGACCTGCTTGGCGTTTGGTGGCAATCTGTCGTCAATGCGTTTAACAGATCAACCCGATTTTTGTCGTAAACAGATCTCTGGTACGGTTTTGCGGACTGTTTGGTCACATTATTGCTAAAAACGGATCTGCTTGCAATCGACCATCTATTTGTTGTCAATTTCACTGACATATATGGAATCGTTTTGACCGCAATACTCTCATGTATATTGCCAACAAAGTTGTTGCGTTTTTTCTTTTTGCGTGCTAACAGTTTTGGCAGTGTTTCCGTATTGTAGCATTTCTGCAAACAATTTCTGTTGCCAAGGTCTGAGCCGAAATTGTCAAAAACAGANATTGTTTGCTGGGAAGATATTACAGTCGATTTTATATATCCACTCAGAACAGAAACTTTATTAGACATNTATTCGATATTGTATGGAGCTATTGACGTCTAATAGATGTTTAATAAAAATTTTATTNTGTGTGGGCATATATTGTGTAAAACATAGTATTCATATTTTGTACCGTAATGTTTCCAGTAGACTTTCTAATGAACGGATCTTTTTGTCTTTTCGTGATACTTTCTGCAACAATGTTTTAATTGTTCTCTGCATTCGTTGTTTTCTTGGAGACATTTTCTGCTTCTTGATATAAACTGTTGAGTGATCCATTATATTCCGTTTTTTTGTACTTGTACTTGTGTCATGAAGTGCGTTAGTGTTACTTGCTGTTGAACTCTCGGGCAATATGATTGGAGGATATATCTCTGTACATGTAGTTGAACTCGTAGAATCGGTATGGGGTGATAATCTCAATTCATCAACATTTGGCTTCAATATANTCCTCCATGCTTTTATAGACGATGAATTTGTTTCACTTTTGTTACATTTGGTTGCAGTTGAATTTGATGCACATTCAACAATTGCTGAAGTGGGTGCTGGAGCAGGGATCTTTGAAAATATAGATGGTACGGCAAAATTTTTCAAGCGTACATTGCTTGTCTCCGGTCTATCCATATAATCCTCAGCTTTAAAATGCGCACTGCAAACACGATGAGTCTTGGTTGGTTGAAAATCTTTCCTTCCAATTGCGTCGATCCACATTTTTAATCTTTCTGGTTGACTCAAAGGAAATCTAAACCATGTAATGTTTTTTAGAAACAATGTTAAAATGTTATTAAACTCTTATTGAAGAAGTATTTTCTGTGCTCACAAAAATTGCTTGGATGGTTGACGGGCACGTTTAAAAANCTACATAAAAANAAAATTAAAACTCGCATATTTTGGACAAACATACATTCGACTTACCTGAATAAATGAAAACCATTTAGATTGGTATTTTTACAACTTGNAATACAGCAATTGTTNGGCATATTATAACGACTGCTTTAAATGCAAGACAGTGACGAGACCACAGGACGAGACACAAATCAACCGGCTCAAGCACAGATGTGGCTTAAGTAACACACATTAATTAACCTAACCTACGCGTCGGCGCCATTTTCTTGGTGGGAAAATGGCTGAAACCGGAAATCGCGCGGGACACAGCTACTCGGCCGAAGTCAGCGATCTAGGTGTAGTATAGACATCTGTGGTTTGTACATATATATTGTATATATACATATGTATATTTGTGTATATATATGTATATATTTGGTAACAAAACTATATACATAATATGTAATTGAACTTATTATACAGGGTGTCTCATACTGATCGTATCACCGCTCGTAAGCAGGTAGAAGGGATTATTCTGAGTCGAAAAGTCCTGAACAATTTTTTTCTATTACATATAATATATATAAAGGAGTAATTATTGAATAAATTAAGCCAATCAGTGCCGACCTTTACCCGGGCGCACATCAGTGAGCCGCGCGAAGCGCTCACGCATATCAAGCGCGTGGTTCACTGACGTGCGTTCGGCTAAAGGTCGGCGCTGATTGGCTTACTTTATTCAATAATTACTCCTTTATCATATGTAATAGAAAAAAATGGTTCAGGACTTTTCGATTCAGAATAATCCCTTCTACCTGCTTACGAGCGGTGATACAGTCATTATGAGATACTTTGTATATACACAAAGAATTACGAATAATACTTAAAATTTAATATGATATTTATTATATGTATCAATTAATTTATAAGATTATATACAAAAAATATGATGCTTGTTCTATCATAGTTACAAAATAAAAATATATATATGAATATGTGAAAGTATTTTTTACCGAAATAGAGTTTCATTTCATGCAATTTTTAACATGATCGTTAAATATATCTAAACTTTGTAAAATATACACTTTTTTAGTTCTTTCAAGTTCTTCCAAGTTCTTTCATGTTACAATATTAAATATTTTTGCAATAATTGTATAGTATAAAAGTATAATTTTCTTCAATAGTATTATAAGTAATTATAGTATGCAAATTACTATATTAATAAATATAAACATATACGTACAAAGTAGTATGTTATTAAATTAAATTATAATTAACTTAGAAGTATATACTTTTATAAAAATTCTTTATAATTAGTGGTCTTCCACGCCAACCATGAGGTGCCACTAATAGCGCGTTAGGTTAGGTTTTTTACGTGGACCTTCGCTTACAGCCTTATTTTACTACATTTTATTACACATCTGTTCTTATATAAACATGTGATCATTTATTTTTAGATATTTAATAGAAAGTATGCCTTGATCGAATTAACGCAGTGATGCAAGCAAAAGAGCTGTAGACAAAGTATTAAGAATACAGAACGCAATAAATACTGCCGATTATTGAACGTGGTGCAAACCCGAGTCAATCTCTTTTTGTTGCTATTAATAAATAAAAAAACAGTAATTGTTGAAACACCTTTTTATGTTATTTTTACCTGTGACACAACTATATGTAACGTTTATTTTTTATATTCTTTACTGTTCTCAACAATAAATAATAATTTATACAAAACTTGTGGTTATTGGTTTAGTTCTGCTCTTTACTGTATTTTAATAATTATAAATATTTTTAATGTATGTAATTCCACGACTTCCTCTTCTTCCTCTTCTTCCTCTTCCTCTTCTTCCTCCTCTTTTTCCTCTCTCTTTTTCTACGCTTGTATCGGCATACGGAGTGCCTTGGACACTCTGTTGTCGGTACCTGCGGGCTCTGCTTTGGCCAGTTCCTCTTTTTTTTTCTAAAAAAAGGATTAATACAATTATTAATAACTACAAAATTACAATTATTGTATTTATTACCGAATAATGTGTTATATTAAATAAATACCTTACTTGTTACATCTGGTTGCACCTCTTGCTGCTGTTGCTTTTGTTGCTGTTGTTGTTGCTGCTGTTGTTGTCCCAGCTGTGCCAATTGCTGCTGCATTTGCAATTGACACTTTTCATAATTTTGCAGCCGTTGTTGCTGCTCCTGCAGCAGTTGCTGCTGCTGCTGCTGCAGCTGTTGCTGTTGTTGCTGCATTATTGTTTGCAGCATTTCTTGCGTTGTCTGTTCTGTATATGCAAAAAAATATGTTGGTAATTGTTTTTTGTTTTTTATCAAACTTTTAACTCGCTTTTTCTTTGGACTTTACATATTCACATATCAACTTACTCGATATTATGTATAATCTTATAATTTACCTCGAGTTGATTCTTTACTTTTTTTGTAATTTTACGATTTTATTTATTTATAATTAATAACGTGATTTATTACTTACGGAAATTATCTTCCATTGCTGCTGCTCGCTGCTCTCTATTTGCCATAAAAATGACAAGCGAGAAACAATGTAAAGTTGCGTACGTTTTGCTGCTTTGAAAGCTATGCGCTGCATATATTTATTAACGTTTCGTAAATTGTATGTATGCTGCGTGTGTATTTTATTGTGTGGTGAAGTCTTCAGCATATTTTCAGTTATATATTTTATGTATTCCTTAATATATAAAATATATTTCATATATTATTTGATTTATATATATTTGATCAAATCTGTGTAATACGTGAATAACGTAACAAACGTGATAATATAGTGTGACGTGATATTTTTGCGAATAAACGTATCTTTCATACGTTTTCTTAAGTTGCCACGTTGGTGAGGAAACTGAAACAGTCTCAACTGTAAGTTTTAATAAACTTTCCGTTTTCCTCTAAGTAGAAGTTTTTGTTTTCGTCTTTATTGTTATAAAAATGTGCGATTCAAATGTGTTACAAAAAAAATATAAGCGAAGCTTTGTAGAAGCTTGGCTTAACGATATTTGATTTAAATCCTGGATACGAAAAGTACCATTAAATGATAGTGTTTTTCATTGGACTGTCAAAAAACTTTTTCTTGTAACACAAGCATTTCTAAACATGCGGATTCTGCAGGTCATAAAAATAATCTTAAAGAAAACATTTCTGGATCCTCAAATAAAGAACATGTAAATTTAAAAACAAATAAATCTAAGACATATAAATTTAACAATCAATGGTTGGAAATAAAACAATTTCAACCATGGTTACGCAAACCACATGACAAAAAATTATTTTTTTGTTCATTTTGTAAAAAACATATATCTGCCAGATTGTCAAGTATTTATGATCATGCAGAATCCGCATCACATCTAACAATAGCTCAAACCNAAAATGTAGAATATACAGAAACTAACATTGATCTCAATATGACAGACGAATGTTTATCGTTTGAGGAGCGAAAGAAAGCAGCAAAAATTCGATTCGCTGCGTTTATTGCTGAAAAAAATATTTNGCTTCAAACAGCAAAAGAAATTCTTACACTTTTCAAGCAAATAGAAAAAGATTCTGATGTATTAAAAAGCATGAAAATGGGACGAACTAAGTATCAAAAGATAATTTCAAATGTATTATGTCCCGTTGAAACCGATCGTGTGGTCGACATTATTCAAAATACCAAATTTTCTATTTTTATTGATGAAACGTCAGACATTTCTAATCAGAAATGGATGACGTTTCTTGTTCGATATGTTCATCCTGAAACATTAAACATTTGCTCGCAATTAGTCAAATTAATTGATATCGACGCAAAAGATTGCAGTGCGGAAGAATTATGTGACGCGTTTAAAGTTGAAATGTGGAAACTAAAAATTCCATTTGTAAATATTATTGCCTTGTCATGCGACAATGCGCACGTCATGACAGACAAATATTTATCATTTAAAAAAAAGCTTGGGGAAATTTGTAAACATTTATTAACATTATCATGTCCGTGTCATTCCGCTGCTCTAGTTGCACATAATGCGTGCGATAAAATTCCAGACTATTGTGAAGCATTCGTAAAAAAAGAACAAAACAAATCGAAAAATTTTAAAATTGGCCGACACACGATGGCTTTCTCGGCGTTCATGTATTGAAAGACTTATAAAATCTTGGGATACTATCACTTATTTTTTAATTGAAAAAACAAAATCGGGAGAATATTTATTATCTGTAATGCAAAAACCTGATGTTAAGGCATATTTATTATTTTTAAAGCATATTTTATATTTTTTTAATTTTTATAACGCATTTTTTCAAGCTTTGAAAACCAGAATACAGTTGTTACAATCAAAATCACGTTAATTGTTAAATAATATTTGTAAACATTTTATAAATCTAAAGCTTTTACAAAATATAAATAATAATTTCGAATTTTCGAATGAAAACAATCACAAATCTTTAAACAAAATAAATTTAGGAAGTGATTGTAAAAAGTATCTGGAAGAATTGATTGTAAAATGATATGCAGATGTAGTTTCTAATATTAGAGAAAATTGCAAGCACTTTTATATTACTGCTGCCCAAGAAATTTGTAAGAGACTACCAAGAAACAATACATTTTTATCAAAATTACCAGTTTTCAAATCGGACATAGCCTTATATGATAATAATAGAGAGACTTCTTTTAATGATGTCTCTTTTGTCGCTCGAACTTTTAGTGGATTTGACGACAATGGTTTGAAACAAGAATGGTTTGCTTTACATCAAGGTTTCACGCAAGCAGAAAAAATTCCCTGTCGAAATTAAATTTTGATGAAATGTGGAAACAAATTTTCCAACGTACTCATCAATATCGCAATTTGAAGTCTCTCGTGAATACTGTTAGATCACTGCCAAATTCAAATGCCAATTCAGAAAGAATCTTTTCCTTTTTGCCAGATATAAAAACAAAAAAACGAAATAAACTTTCGTCTGTCATTATCAATGCTACTTGTGTGCTTAAGTCGGCATTAAAAGCGAGAAGGGAAACGGCTGTAAACATAGAAATTACTAAAAAACATATGTCTTTAATGTCAGCAGACACTTTGTACTCTGCATGTCGTAAGAAACAAAAAAGTCATCTGACATTGTACGCTGCAAATGACAATGAAATTGTTGGTCCCTCTTCGTCTAACAATATACAATACTAATGTTTAAAATAAATTAACTTATTTTGTCTAACATGCTCTGTATGTCAGACATTTATAAAAAGAATAACTGTGTAAACAATACACGTGTAAAAAATGATTTTGTCTGGTATGCTCTGGTATGCTCAGACTAA